TCCCTTTGCTTTAATCCCTCTCATTTTCTTCTGCTTATCTTAGCCTTTGCCTGTTTTTGTACATAAAGCTCCCAGCACACTCATTTACTTCTTTCCTTAGCTGCATCATTCACTCCCTTCCTTCTACCCTCTACTCTTCATTTTGGTGCAGGAAGGGGAGATGGAGAAGAACCTTGGTGCTAAATTAATGGATCCACTATTGAGTCTTTCTTCATCTTGAACTGACCCTCTCTGTAAATTTTTCCCTGGTTTAGGAGCAGAATGCTCCTGAATACAGCTGTATGACCCGCCTGACCTGCAAGAGTATTAAACGTGTGGTACTGCTAAATAGCTGGCAGTGAGCTCTAGCTCTATACAAGAGTATTAAAATGTATTCCCTCATTTTTAATTTATGTTTTCATTTTTATTCAATTCCTCTCGGCTTCCAAGGCAAAATTTCAAACTTTTACACAGCACATATGATGTCCAGCAATTACATTTTATGAAGCACATTGATACATATCTGCTCACAGAAGGAAATTGCTAGACCTCTCTTTCTATACACATTTACTACTCAGCAGAAAAGCATGCATGTGAATCCATGCCATCTCTCTCACACAGCTCAAATGCACTTTACTTGCCAAGAGCCAGATGTAGCCAATGTGACACTGAATTATCATGACAATGAAACACTTACAAACGCCTGGGATGAGCCACTACTAATAATTTTAATTTCAGACTATGTTAGACCTCTCAAAAAAGATTTACAATTAAAAAGACATGGATTACTTTCACTAATCAGCATGATTTGAAAGAGCATCAGTTCTTCCCCAGCATTTCCAGCGGCCAAAGCCACTCATTGATGAAGAGCTTCTTTACAGCTCTAATTTTGATATTCATGATAATTAAACACTTATGAAAGCACATTTCCCTTCATCTACTAAGGGAAGAATCCTTCTGAAACGGTTTGAGTAGTGTACTTCATTACTGGATATTTTTTTTAAACAATTACCATTTGCATCAAGAACAATGAGCCTTTTGGTTTGCTTATTTGTACCATGTAATTTCACTAGTGTTAATGAGATTACATGGGTGTGACTGAAGGCAAAATTAAGCCTTGTGAGAGAGACCTTATTGGAAGGTGACTGTCATAAAACCATCCACAGGGTATCCTTGGAGCCCCAATTTTCTCCCTGATGTCTTACTGCTGCTTGTCTCAAGCAATAGACTAAGGTTTGTCCCTGGGATGAATGCTCACACCTGCAAGCCTCAGCTCCACTGCCCTTTCCTCAGACCCTATAGCTGCAGCAGAGGAATTTTTTTCCTGCTCCAGGTAGTTCCCCCTCGCGAGTTCCAGGTCCCTCCATAGAAGGGGCCAGCTTGGAATATCACTTACTCTTTACCACAGGCAAGCTGTAAGGTAACAAAACAGAAGGATTTATTATGTAGAAGAAAATAATTGTTTGTATATGAAAAGTTTTGAAGATGAAACAAAAAGACAGGTAAAATTTCTCACCCTCTCATCTGGCTACAACCTAGTCCTTCAGAGTGTCCTGCTAATATTTCCCAAGATCAGCCTTTCTACTGATCCTGCCAAGTCCTGACAGCTGGTGACCTGGACTCACCCCAAGCCCGGGATAACCCAAAAACAATTACTACCTTATGGATAGCTCCCAAATACCTTCAGGACCCCCTACCCACCAAATAGCATTGTTCCATTTGCTGAAAGGTCTGAGAATTCCCTTCCTAGGGCATCTCGAATTCCCCTAATGGTCCATCTCCCTGAAATGCACTTGCTATTATGGGGATGATTTGTCCCATTACAGACAGACACTACTTTGGGGGATCATTCCAATAATAGCCCTTTCTCCCACGTGCTTGGGAGGGCAATTGTTTTTGCCCTAGTAATACAATCAGTCAGTGATGCTTACTAGTTTTGCCTTCCCTCTGTTTATTAGGTATGCATTCCTAAAATCCTTTGACATCTAAACAGCTGTTAACTAGTAGTCTGGACATACCTTTGATTCAGCTATGTTCCAAAATTGTAATGATGCATACAGAAGGAGTAATACAATCTGTACCATGATAAAAATGATGAATGCAGCTTAACATCGACTTTTGAATGAGATGAAACATAAAGTTAATCAAATCTTCTTTGGATCAAATACCTCTGGTGAGATCATTCCTACTTTTGGGGTAAGCCTATGACAGTGATCGCAAAGAATACTAAAAAGAATACTACTGCTTCTACCTGTCTATCCCCGTAGCTATATACAGCCAGGAAAAACAACTGCCTAAAATTCCTCAATTGTAACTGGACTGCCAGTTAATGACTGGCCAGTTAGCTGATTTGGAATACACTGGGAAGCTCTAAAATAAGATGATGATGTGTACATCCACAGTCTAAAAGACACCCAATTGCCAATAGAATAGTCTTACTAAGGGATCTCAGCAGTAGATGCTATTAGATAAAGTAGCCTGGATGAGCCAGCCTTCAGCTATGAAAGGTTCATATATTTAGAGTGCCAGGCTTTGGGATGGACAGATATGCTAGAGAGTGGGATTTGCAGTCAAGGACAATATTTGCACGAATTGATAGTTTTTATGTTTATGTATTTTAACTTATGGCACAGGGGCCCTTTAGCCCATGACATAACGAATGTTTAAAAAGGCCTTTCATTTAAAGTTCTCTAAATCTGAATAAGACTTCATAATGTCCCACTGAAGCAGGTGAATGTCCCTTTATAAAAACAAAGTGAAGTACAAAGAAGTCATGGTTATTCAGTTACTGAGCTGAAGAACTGGGGACAGAACCAAGGAAACATTTTGCCTTCTGGAAGCACTGAACTACATTAAACGAGACAGTCTGCTTGCTCTAAAAAGCATGGGTGAGAGAGCAGAAAGTGCTACCTACTTCTAAATATAGGCTGTCTGAAAATAGTTCCTTGCAAAACAAAGAAGTGCTTTGAAGCAAGTACACACTTTGAAAGCTACACTGCTATTGTCATAGCTCCCTTAACCCCAAGCCGAGGAGTTCCTTGCTTAGGGTATGTACAGGGGCTACACTTAGATCAACCTATCCAAAGGAAGGTCAATCTAAATGCCCTGAATAGGTGAACTGACTTAGATTGAGAAAGGGTTAACGTGATCTAAGAAAGGGTTAACCCAATCTTGCAAACACCTGTATACATTCGCAGTGCACCCCTGGGGCTGGAAAAACTGAGCTTTTTGTGCCAGCCCCTGGGTGTGCTATTCCCCCCCTGCACATGCTGACTGGGCTATTTTTAACTCCCCAACCCTCCCCCTCAAGCTAGGCACCTCATGGACCTCCTAGCCCCTGGATCCTGCCTACTGCTCTCCCTACTCCCTATTACTTACACCAGGCTTCCTGAGCAGTACCCAGGAGCAGCAAACAGCTTCACATGCTACTCCCAGTCTATGTTCATACCGCTGAAAGCAAGCCACATGAATGCAGACCAGAAGCGGTGAATGAGTGTATGAACCCTCAGCAAACTGAAGTCTCTCGTCTCATTTACTGAACTGGATTTCCTAGTTTTAGATGCTCAGAAAGAGATTTTGCACAAAGGGAGCCTGATGCTTACTAAAACTTCCCGGTATTACTATTTAAGTAAAATAATAATCATAAGGCTTCATTTTCCTCACATGACCAATCCTACTATGCTAGGATTGTAAAATGTAAATATACTGTCAAGTCTTTACAGGATTGGGTTTCAAAACAGCTTCTTTCACACACCGCAATGTTGTGATTGCTAGGCTGCTTGTACTCTACAGATGTCTAAAGTTCTCTAGATTTTGATTAAATGTTTATCAAAATGTTAAATTTGGGAAAAAGAATGGAATAAAATATATCAGTAATTTATTACCCAGAACAAGTGACACTTAAAAATAAATGTTTTCAAGGTCAGGATCCAGGGCTAGGGAGGGGGTGGGGAGAAAAAAGAATCAGACAAGCAGACATCACAGCTGAGCTCTTTCAGTTTCCTTGCACTTCTGAGAAGAAGGGAAGAAGCCCAGGAAATCTCACAACTGTTTTTGTGCTTATATGGTTTTCTTGTTATTTATTTCCTCCTTATGTTTCTCCCCTTTATTCTGCACCTGGGCTAGTGTTTAAATTTTAAGTACCTAAATTACACATGCAGGTTATGTTAAGAAGGTAAGTAGAAGATTACCAGATCTTTACATAGGCAGCTGCACAAGTGAAAGTATTTGCAAGTTGAGTTATCTATTTTTGTTCACTCGGCCTCATATTTTCCATGTTCAGGTTACCATCTTACACACAAATGCATGTTTTAGTGCACAATTTCAGAATCAATCTTGAAAAATAGGCTGAATGAAGTGGAATTCAAACATATTAAATAGTAGGATTTAAACTTTGCAACATTGCGAGGGTTTTTAAAAGAAAGCTTTTCCACATTCAGTTTCTCTCTAATGCATAGGATTATTTGTAAGACATACTTACTGAACACTTCAAGCTGGGGCTTAGGGTAGTTTTCTACTTGTGTATACAAAAACTATCATTAAATACTGTATACTGTGTTAATAATATGATTATCAGATTCTATAACAAAGTGTTTACATACTGTTTTGTATGTTTGTTTAATTTCTCCCATTATTTCCTCAGTGTCCACCTATTTTAATATGTAATACTTCAAAAAAGATCTCATTCTTTTATGTATTTCTTCACAGGAGGAGGAGAAGGAAGCTACAAGTTTGCTGACCACCACTACCACCAAGTGGCTTATATGCGTAAGCTTTAAGCAGAGTGCACTTCTTCTCATGTTCATATTGAGATGGTTGTAAAGAGATGTCATTAAAAACAAATATTGCTTAAGGCTGTAATATGCAACACAATTCACAGACCATGCTGATGTTATTCTTCAGTTAAAATACAGCAGAATGAGGGGAAAACATCAGACAAGGATAAATTTGAAATGATTCTGAAATTTCTTAGTTTAGTATTTTTGATAGATTCAAATATAAATTTATATACTGGGCTTCTTATAATTTGCTTTTCTTTAAAATACAATACAAGGGATATTATTAAATCAGCCAAAATATACCACTTAAATCCATTGACAGACAAACACATAGTGAAGATTCATCCTGAAGTGTATCTATGCCAGAAAAGCAGCTGAAAATACAGCATTAAAAAGTACATTACATCCTCCTCTCAATGTTTTCCTGCCACAAAAGATACACTTTAAAATGTTCTCAACAAGAAAATTCATCTCATGATGACTTACCCCTCCAAATGCACTGCAGCCATCTGCTCCTGGCATAGACTCCACAGAGCTGGTGCTTGCTATCTGAAGGAAAAGGTATCACAAAAACATTTCAATATGGAGACTGCACTTAAATGATTTTTGAACAGTAAAATCAAAACATGGAATAATGTACTTCTAACCTCATAGATGTTCTCTTTGTGAAAGTTAATTATATACACAGTCAGCTATTTGCAACATTTAGCTAACTATGAAGTAGGTGACTTTACAGATGGCACTGAATTGCCAAGGCCCGGTTTTCTTTCAGAAATATGGGCAGTCTAAGTAACCGAGAGATGCATTAAAGACAGCATAGAACAAAAACTCATTAAAGAACGCATAGAACAAAGAGAACAGATTTTGATTTGCACTGCTACTATAGATTCCTATAAGACAAAGCAGCAAAGCAGTTTTTGTAGTCATTGGACTCTTAAGATGGATGTATAACTCATTGTTTCAAATTGTGCCTGTGTAAGCATTTTTTATAATTGATTATTTTAAGACATCCAGGAAAATACATAAATATATGTTAGCAATGTATTTAATTAAACTAAAAATATCAATTACTAGACACCACAGACATACCACACGCAAAAATACTCTTTAAGCACAAGCCCAACCCCGAGAGTATCTGCATCATTGCCTTAAACCTGAGGAGAGTATTCTCTAAGGAAAAGGCTCTATTTATGATCAAGTCCCCTATGACATTCATGCATTTTTCCCACAAGCCCTTCAGAAATATATAAAGCATAGATCTAATGTTCTTAGACAATCTTAAACTTCAGAGAATTCACAGTAAGTACTTTACTCCTTACAATTTCATTTGAAAGCAGTACATTTCTTTGTTGTAAACAAACCAAGCTAAATAGTATAATTGTAAAAGCTGTTAACTCTGATTTTTTTTTTTGGTGGCTATTTGAATCCTAGCACAACTAAGAAACTGCTTGGGATGAACACTGTGCATTTGCAACACTGAAAGCAAAGAGAAGCCAACTGGGTATAGATGTGGTCTGGATGCTTGCAAGCTTACAATAGCAGAGTAGCAGAGTCACACTACCCACTAAAGGCTACAGGAGGGATCACACCTACTCAGGAGGAGGACATCTTTGTTCACTTCCCTATATCCAATCAGGGGAACAGGCATCTGTGGAGACAGGCAACACTACTGTCTTTGGAGAACATTTAAGGAGCAAACTGGGTCTCTCAACAAGAACCCTATTTAGTCAATTAAGGAGCAGCCCTGAGGATTTTCCTGTAATCCTGCTTAGCAAGAAGGATAACACCTGTGACAGGATTTTAAGAGAGTGGAGACACTGCTGGGAGGGAATGTGAACTTTGACATGGATATGAAGAATGCTCCCCAAGAAGAGGTAAAACATCCTAGCTGTCTTACAGCGCCTCCTGGAGCCCCAAGCCAAAACAATATGTATATACAACACCTACACTTTCCCAGAAGCACTCTCCAGCCTTGAGATACAAATCTCAGAAGAGCTTTACTAATGTTGGTTCAGTAAGCCCTACCATTTCCTTAAGTACCATGTCCCAACACTGTTTTCTGTCCCACTTTGTTAGGCAACTGACAAGTCTGCTAGTCTCTCAGGCTGTCATCTGTGTTTTAACTGCACCTTCTAATAATGGATCAAGATGTATCCAGCTCACCAGGCATCAAATATATTTTCTCTAGAGGGAAACAAAAAACTATATGAAAAGAGACAGTCTCACTCCAGAGAAAATATATTTTGATCTTCCTTCCTTGTGGAAAGTATAGATGCACTCCTGCCAATTTGCCTAGTTAAAGCCCTTACGTTACTTTCAACATTTCCAAATCTGTTATACAGACTGGTCGTTTTTCATTTATTTGTCCAAGATACTCCACCAAGAGATGAAAACTGATGAAAATTCCTGGGCATCTAACTAATCACTGGACACACAGCTGCCAGATCCTGGGAGGCCTGCTTTCACTGAGCTCAGTGCTTGGCCTGAGAGACACCAGGGCTCTTCCTTGGCTGATGTCCAATATCACCTGAATTAATGCTTCTCACACATCACAAGCCTTTAGCTTTTTGAAAACAAATGGGGGGAAAGTCCTTTAATGTGAGAACATGCTGTTTAGCAAGAGACAATATTTATGAAGCCTTAAAGCATGGTAGATGGAGACTGAAAAAATGTGCAGGCCCTTCTTCTGAAAGAGTCCATGCTGCAGTGGAACCTCAGAACACTCAGACTCCTTGAAGCACCAGGGCTATGCTAGTGCTGAGAAGGATGCAAAATAACAGCCAGTAACTAGTCTGAATCTTCACCCGTTCCAGAGGATGAATCAATTATTAGTCTGGTACTTGTATTGCAGTAATGCAAAGTTATGAACCCACTATTCCACAATAATGCAAACATGCAGTAAGAGACAAAAGGTGGGTGTGAAAACCAGTGGAAGGAGTCAGAAAGGGAGGATGAGGTTAACAGTGACAGCAAAACCCACATCCGCAGATGGGCTCAGAGCCTTTGAAGGCTGTAAACAAACAAGAGATATTCATGGAATATGTAATCGTTGCTGGCCATCTGCACAGCCTTTATCAGTCAGTAATTTCAATCAGCACAATAGCAGAGCACAGTTAGGACTGAATAGTGTCTCCCAGCCCCTCATTTAGCCCAGCTTCCTCCCTGAACCTCTCATACCCCACCTCCCGGCCATTTCTAGCAGAGGTCAGAGCTTGCATGCAAATTTTCAGACTTGAGGAAAAAAGTGACATGTACAACTATTCACTTCATAGACACAATGCTCCTCCCTCCATGCTAGCAGCTAGATCCTGCAAACACATGCCATCCATGTGCAAACCGGGGTTCTGCCATGGCCCACTCATAATGTGCTTTCATCAATTTTGTTATAGTAGAGACACAGGCAGAACCTAAAAGTTGATCCCTCCTGTCCAATTTGCACATGCATATGTCTGTTTATGCCTGCAGAAGACCTGTGCACACCTTTTACAAGCAGAAAAGACAACTGGAGTGTTGAAATTTGGATCTGATTTTTATAATTAGGCACAGGATCTCTATTTCATAATGAAATCTTCAAATCCTAATTGAAAACATTACCTATAGTAGTGATCCAAATGCACTGCTATGCTGGGATTCAAGCTCTAGACTGAGGTTGGTCTTTTTTTTTCTGAAAGTGGAAAGAACTGGACATGATCTGGCAAACAGAAGGGGACTCACTTCTCTGGAGCTCAGGAAGAAGCGGCATGCAGTAGCAGCCCAGCTTTCAAATTTGTGTGTTACTTACTAAAGTTATTGTGGAACTGAAGTGTTTGGTTTGAGACTAATTTATATTACTGTAGGTAAAAAACCTGCGTGTTATTAATGTCTGATCTTGGCAAAGCACAAGGCTATCAAAACTCAGTTAAGAAAAATGTTAAGAATCATTTCTATAAAAGACTGACTTTTGTACCTTACAGCAGCCACTATGAACTTCAAATTCTGCATAAACATTATAACTTATCAGCCACCAAGTGCTAAAGTCCTGGAGTGGGGAGTCTCAATATACTTCTGCTTTTTTCCTCCCCATCAGTTTGTGGGGCCCAGTACCCAGGCTTCTCAGAGAAGAGTGAGCAATGGCTCATTACAATCTAATGCAGGACCGTGGATCACAACCATGGATCACAACAGAACTCAGCGAACTCTTTATATGAACTGATACAAAAGTAAAATACAGGTTGTGAGAACATAGCCATTCTGCCCAATATCTTTTAATGAAGGTGAACTTATCAGTATAATAAAACTGCTATCCTAAGATTGCCCAGTTTCTTTATTCACACGATCACATGCATCTCTTTTCAATAGCGATTTGTAGCACATTTAGCTTGACATGGGAGCCTGAAGCTGATTATGGTGATAATCCAACCTTTTCAAAAAACTGGTATAAAGAAAATTAACATGTATATTGCACTCATATCAGCCAGGAAATTAACTAGATTTCTTCCCTGCTTGGTTATTAAGAACTGCTAGAGTATAAACATGTAACTGTCTTATTAGCAAAATCTGAAAATAAACTAGAACTTAAAAATAAGAGATATTTATAAAAGACAAGCAGAGAGTCTCTAACTGAACAGGGGCAAGACTGCTAGTTAATTCAGCTATTTATAAAAAAGGACACTGTATAAGAGCATTTTGGCTCTGAAGGTAGCCATGCAGAACCCGAATATTCACTGGCAGTTATTTTTTCTTTGGTTTTTGTCAAATTTTAAATGGAATGTTATTAAGTGATTAATAAGTTGCGCAGCGTTGCCTTTTCTGCAGAATGCCCCTCAAGGGTGTCCTGTCCTCACTCATAGAAGTGAGATGCCAATGAATCTGTCATAGAAGGGAGAGCTAGGACAGAAAATATCCCCAGGACTCTGTGTAGATGGATATGGCCTCCCTACTTTGAAATCTGCCAGGCTAGGGACAGACATTATATATAAACCTGTTTAAGTGATCAGAAACTGGTTTAAACCTGTAACAGAGCATAAGTTCAGCACACATAAAACCAGTTTGAGAATGGATGAAACTAGTTTGAGATAAACCTGGTTGAATGTAGTATCAGACTTAACTGATATGGGTCAAACAGATTTATGCAATATCTGTCCCAGACCCCTTCCTGGTTTAAGTTAAACCAGAGTCCCCCAACATCCCACATGCTTTGCACCCCTGAGCTGGGCTGTGCTGTCTGCTCCAGTGGAGCAGAGCTGACCCCACCCCTCTCCTTCCTAGCCAGAGCACTATGACTGCTATGGCTGGCTGAGGGACTGCAGTGGCTGCCAAGGCTCCACCTGCTCCCCCTTCTCTGCTCTCCCATCTTTCCTCCCCCACATCGCTGCTCAAAAAGGGATCCCCCCTCCTGCCTCTCTTCCATGGCAGTGGCCCTAGTGCAGGGACCCAGCATCTGGCCATGTCCCCACTTCATCCCATGCTAGATAATGCTGGGAGGTGTCTGTGTGGGTCTCCAATTTCTCTGGAACAAAGGGCAGGCAGCTAGTAGCTTGCAAAAGCAAATGCACCCTGCAGATAAGAAGAGCTTGAAACTAATGAGAGAGATATTTTCTTTTGTAGGGCTTGATGGGCTGATAAACTTTGTTCTGACAAGCAACCTGTTGGCTGCAATCTGTAAGTCTTCAAGGGGGGGATAGAGAAAGGTGTTAGAAATGACCCAGTTTGCAGACAGTATGAAGAAGCAGGGGGAGAGAGACTGAAAATCTCAGTATCATCAACAGATGCAGGGTCTGGCAACACTCCTGACCCCTGAGCAGTGAGCAGGGAAAAGCCTTGGAGGGTGCAGACAAGGTCAGGGTATACACCCATCCCTAATCAGAGCATCCTGCCAGGGCCTGGCCATGCGCCCCCTCAGCATGGTGGAAGGGAAGGGAAGGGAGGGCTGCTCTAGTACCCCTGGCTTCTAGCCTGAGCCACTACAGGCATGTCTGAAATTAAATGCAGGCACATCCAAATTGGTTCAAGCTTTGCAGGTTAGATTAACTATAAAGCTGTAATCAATTCAACCTCAGGCTTTTTAAATGTCTGTCCCTAGCCCCTGTGTCAGGGACAAGCCACATGACCTTTTATTTCAGGAACAAACTCAACTTCCAAAAGGCAACTCCTTCTGAAAATTTCTTCCTCCAGTGACCTCTCCCACTCTGGCTTTGGTCAATGCCATCATTTCAGTGACTGCCTTAAATCAAGCAGCAGAGGGGACATTATCATCTTCACGTGACCACAGTAACTACAACCCTTATGGAAAGGTCTTGAAATTAGATAGAGCTGAGACACAACAGAACTCCCTTAGGTTTCTACTCTTAGAAGTGTACAGAACTTAATATTGCATTTACTTTTATTCTAAGACAGGCCCCTCCCCCACCAGTCAGCATGGGGGGGAAAGCTCCTCATCTTAGATTTGAATACAAAACAGAGGGGGGAGGGAACAGGGGCAGGGGGGAAGGGAGCAGGCAGCTGCTGAGGCTGCAACTCTGACCCTGAGCCCAGGTTTGGGCCAGAATCAGACCCACAGAAGCTGTTCGCCTCTCCCTTCCACTTGCCCACTGCAGCTTCTGACCCTGCCCACCTCTACCCTCCCACTGTCAAGCACACAGAGTACAGGGAAATTCCATCCCCTGCTTGACCAATCAGCAGTGCCAATATTGGTGCATGGCCCAGCAAGGGTCATGCTTCCACATGCTGTGCTCCAGGAAGGGAATAGTCCCCAAACAGCATCTGACAGTAACATGGGGAGAAGAGGGCGATAAAGAAGCAGATACTGCAGGGAGAAGTGGGAGAAGAGGCAGAGGTTATGGGGAGCAAGGGAGAAGGGGCAGAGACTGTGGGGAGTTGTGGGGAGGGGGTGCCAGATGGGGCAGGAAAGTTTTATGGGTAACAAATTCAAGACAACCCTCCAATAATTAGATTATCTACCTGGAAATTTATCCAATGTTATAAAGTTTCCATATATAAAATCTAATTATTGGGGGGTCATATTAAATTTAGGGTTACTTATGTTATTTTTTTTACAGGTATTTCAAAACAGTCATAGAATTCTATTGTTGAGATACATTTACATTTACAAATGATAGTGCTATCAAAACTGCAATAAAGATCAACGTTTGCTATATTCCTTAGAACTCTTTTAAAATAAAACAGTACGAGAATCTCCTGACAAAATACGTGTCTCAAAAAAGATAATAAGCAAAACTCCCAGTCACACAAACATCATTCCAGACAGGCAACCACTCATAATATTGAAGAATTACACCTGTTATGCTAAATGAGCTACTAGTCTGAAAAACATGACTGATGGGCCTCTGCACTGAATTACTCTGATAATATATTCTGTACCTGCATGGTTGGATAACTATGACTGATCTGCATTTCACAGTAAAAAAATGGGGGGTTGACTGCATAATAATGTAACATAAAAATCAAGAACAAGACTACAGTATTAAAATAGCATTGGCTGTATATCAGGCAAGGGTAAAGGATGTGCAAAATATGGAAAGGAAAGATATGTATTCTCTCTCATACTTACTGATGAGTCAGGAAAGTGCTCATCTTCTTGAGAAAAAGAGCTATTAAAAGCTCTAAATGTTTCACTGTTCTGTTTATGTTTTTCAATTGTTGCTTGAATTACCTGAAATATGCCAGGAGGACAAAAACACATTACAATATGCGTCCTGGAAAAATTCTCTTATGGAAACTGTCAGGATTATTGCTTCACTGGAAAACTGATATAATAAAAAAAAAAAAAACTCACTGCCAAAGTTCTTTGTTCTTACAAAGGTTTTAGTCAATCAGTTTTCCACTTTCAAGTATGTACAAACATATATCAGAAATATGGATCTCCATCTCCATTACAGAGATGGAACTGTGTCTTTGGTTACACTAAGTTAGCAAATGAATCAGAATGACAGCTCGAGATTTACCAACTATGTGCAAATCCTCTACCCACCTCCCCCCAGCCCCCACCCAAATCACACCACACTACCTAACTTCTTAAATACAAATTCCTGTATTCTTAATCCAAACTAGATAATGTGAAAATGGAATGAACTGGGGGATGTAGAAATTTCCATCAATATAAACAAGTTTGTATGTTAACCTGAATCCATTCTCTCTTCTCATCTTCTGTCCTACAAGAACAGAAAAACACAAAAAACAAATTATTGCCTTGTTTTTTGTATGTTCAATGAAACCAAGTATTGACATTTTCACAACTTCACATGCATCAGCAACTCTAATTTTGAAATCAGTTATTCTATAAACCTCATGAAAAATAGACCCTAATTTTATTACTAAATATAATTACTAAAAATTCATAACTTATTGTTGCTTATTCAACAATGAAAGCAAACCAATGTGACACTTCAGTAGGCTACGAGTTAGTACCAGTTAATTCTCTTTTTTACGTAATTAATCATTGTTATTGATCTTGTAGTCTAAAACTAGATCATTCTAGCACAATCATATCCCTAAATCAAAAATAAATGTGCATATTCATATCTACAAATTCAGAAAGCTGAACAAACATCATACCTAGCTTGTAGTTCCAGTGATCTCTTTTTTCCTGTTATTGAAAATGTATGAGAGGCATTTTGCTTGACAATTTCTTGGACCTGGTAGAAACAAGCCAGTATTTTACTATTGTTCATTTTATTTCAGTCATTTTTAACAGCTCTCAAACATCACATTCAAACCTTGAATACCCCAAGATGAGATGACTACCCAAATAATACAGCAGACAGCTTGAAATGAGGAAGGAGCCTTTTCATTACTTTAACAGCACCAAACAACTCTACTCAGAGACCAGGGCCACACTGCACTTGGTACATACAAAGAGAACACAAAGACAGTCTGAACCTCAGAGAGCCTGCAAACTAATTAAGGACTTCCAAGTTCATTACATGAGATAAACAGTTATTTTGTCACTCATCTCTGGGTGGTGGCCATATGAGGGTAAGTCTAAGAAGAGTAGCACTCGGTGCATCTACACATGTATGAGCTTTAGCTAATGCACATTAAATTAGTACACCCATTGTGAGGTACTAGAAAAATGTGCATTAGACTGGCTTAATGAGCATTAACTAAGGCAGACGCTTTTTAAGCGACACTTAATGCACACTGGCCTATTTTAATGTGCATTAAGTAAAAGGCATGTTTTTTTATGTGATGCTTCAACACGCATTAAAATAGGCTAATGTGCATCTAATCGCACATGTAGACATGCCAGTGCTTCAAAATGAAAAGCAACTGAGATAAATGATCTTTTCTTTCTTTCTACCAATCTCAGTTATTGAGGATACTATTGCACGGTGTTGCTATCGTTATTATGATAATTTATTTCTGTTACTATAATGCCTCTGAGCCCTAGTCACCAGCCCCCCATACTCTGTGCAAATACACTTAACTAAAAGATGGATATAAATCTTTTCTTACACTCTGAACTTTTAGCTGCAGTTCTAGTCTACAGTATTTCAAGAGGAGAGGTTAGAAAATAGGTGGCATACTTCTATTTATGAGGTAGCTGAGGCAACATATCTGAATGGTAATTTCCTCAGTAAAGCCTGAAGGGATCATAGGGAAATAGTGCACAAGCTCACATATGCCCGTGTTAGTCCATAGTCACCAGCTTCAATTGATATGCCCCTTAAGGACATTGAACTAATTTTTGTTTCTGATTGTATTCTACCAGCCCTTAGGCCTTCAAGTCTGAGCTCATTTCCAAACAGAACCCCAAGCTGCAAAGTAAAAAAGCTGACTGCTGCGACACCAATTTAATCTGAGCATCGCTGACACTGAAATCCCAGCTCTCCAGGGTGATAGAATTTGCTGAAGGGTTAGCACAGAGAGACAAATAATTCTGTGAGGAGGTCTAGCTGTCTGATTGTCAGAAGCATTACCAGTGTCCGAAAAATAGCTTCAGCCCTAAAGCCACTTTATAGCCCCCCTGCTGGCTACAGAGAAGGACTGTGATTAAGGGTTGGGGGAAGTACAAAAATAGGAAAAAAGCAGATGCGAACCTGCAAGCCTGCAATGTCCATCTTCTCTCGAACACTGAACTTCTGGCCTATCAGCCTCAGTTTTGGCACACAGTATAATACCATGCTGTTGAACTGTAATAGGGGAAGGTATAAATTAGGCAATACAGGCAAGATGGAGTTTGCATTTTGACAGCAATATGACTTGGAGCACTGGTCTCCCTCATAACAAAATACAGCTATCATAAATAATCTGATTTGCTTAATCAGCCTCAAAAAGGAAAGAAAATTCTATGGAGAGATTTAAGGTATTGAGTGAAACCACGGATGTCACTATTTGGAGGAAGTGGTCAAGGTGGAAATAATACTAAGCACAGCCGTTGTCATCTTCTGCAAATACCTGCAATTATTGCAGGGTTGGGGGCCTATGAGACATCTCTCTCCATACTGTTTCTGGTCCTGATCTAAATCCTTCTAAAGAAAATTAGAGTTGCTATGCTGATTTCAGCAGAAGCTGGATTACTTCTTGCTCAAGAAGTTTAAAGAGATGTAGCTTTTTAGGAATGGGATGGGGAACTTACTTCTCTCAAAGAACTTGGCAACTTAAGCATGGAGATAGGAAGACATGAATGGAAGAGGTTGTTCAGGAGAGAGAGGTGGCAGGTAAAGAATACAGGGAGGCATAAAGGCAACTGGATATAGGTATGCAGGTTTCCCTTGCTTTATGTTGTACATGCATTCCTGGAAAATGGCGCATAACTCGAATTTGCATAAAGGGAACCCACTTGACAATGTAACAAATAGGACTACGTGCCAAGCCCTCGACTGTACTGACCCCAAACCCATTTCTGTCACTTTTACAAGACAATTTTGGTACTCCCCAACAGCAGGCAGTGCACAAAGCACAGAGTGGTGGTGAATGTTATCATAATGGGGATGGCAACTACAGAAGCATGTGTCGCAGACAACAAGCGAAGAGCACAGATCCATACAGCAGACTACATTTTGGTGTGCGTCACTCCCACAAAGCACCACACAAAGCAGCTGACTGCAGACTTCCACCACACCGATTGCATAAGAGTGAATTTACCTTGCATATAACAAATTTTTGGTATAAAAGGGTCATCACATAAGAGCAAATTTGCACATACAGAACCCGCATAAAGCGAGGGAAACCTGTATTAGCATTCTGCATTGTGATCAGAGGAAGGAGACCATTGCTGCAAGACAGAAACAATTAATAGATGCAACACTGAATACAAGAAACTCACCAGAAACAAGTACCTATCTTGAGCTGTGCCATTCTTTGCTGAGAGTTTCTGGATATGTCCTTCTTTAATGAGTTCGTTGGCTGGGTTAACAATATCCTCCTCACCTCCAAGTCGTTCATATACTTCTAAAAGCTTGTTCATCTTTTCCTGTAGGTGCAGAAGGTTACAACTATTGAACAAAGAATTTAAAAAAATACTTCCCTTGTTCATTACTTAAAATATTATTTGCTGTGGAAGCCATAAACTATTCAGACTGGCATGAAATCAAAGATGTAGGGATGGATGTTGAAATATGTACCCTTAAAAATAAACTGTTATTCCATGCTCCAATATTCTCAGTTCTCTATTGTGGTTACCTTTGAGTCATTCTTTGCTTGAAGTGTAGCAATGGCATCTTTGGCCAGTATATTTGGACATGACTTAAAAGACTCTTTAGATCAGTGGCTCCCAACCTTGGGTTGAGACCCAAATTAGGATCACGGGGGGTCCGCCCCTTGCTCCACACCTCTTGCCTGTGGGGCTCTCCCAGCGCATGGTCTGTGGGGCTCTCGCAGGCACTGCCCCCTGCAATCCCGGCCAGGCCCGGGCTCTGCTGGTGCCGCTGGGCATGAGCAAGTTGGTGGAGGAGGTGGGGGTCACAACCCAGATTTAGGGTCGCAGCAAAAAAAGGTTGGGAGCCACTGCTTTAGATTTTCATAATTTAGTTAAAGTCCAAATGTCAATTCCAGCATAGTGAATGTCTGAACCACTGTTCTGTGGTAAGGAAGTAGGGTTCTTCCACTGCTCCAAGGAACACAACACACAGCCAAAGCTAGTCACCTCTTAAATCTTTCTTGGAGTTTGATTCTGACGATAAGTCAGCTGTAACACAATATAAACCTTAGCCTATGCTGTCTCCCACAGTCTGGCTATTTCTAGGTTTCCCTGCAAGATCTCTTCTATCTCAGGGCAATACTCCAGCTGCTCCGGTAGTCTTACTGATGCTAATGAAATCTACCTGTAGCATGATGTAGGCTCATCTTTAGTACTTTTACAGAAGGCTGCAATCCCTGAATTTACAGTGGCTCCACAAGGGGCCTATGCTGGGGTCCAATCACTGCTTTCTCAGGCAAAATTTAGCTTATATGGAGGACCAGCACGTGGCTTACAAATTCTCAAAATATGGTGTTAGTGCAATTTAAGTGTTGGATAGGCCTCGGTTAAGTTCTTTACACAGGAGCTAAATCTGACACTTCCATAAACACTGTCTCTCCCTGCTCCACAAGCTGTCTTGCAAGGTGACTAGATCATCCACTGATATCTGCTACACCAAGTAGTACAGCAGCTGTAGCAAACAGAAATAGGAAACATTCTTACATCTCCAAGTAGCTGCAAAATCAGCTTAAGCAACTGCAGTGTTTGGGGAGTTTCAATTCTTTTAAAGTGGTAGCAGGTGGATGTATCTTTTAGCAGGTAGATAAATCTTTCAGGGCAAGTGTTCCAAAAGTGAAGGCAAAGGTCTATGCACAAAAAAAAAAAAAATCATATACACACATTTGTGCACATGACACCAAGTTGCTCATGCAGATTAAGTTGGGGTTTGAGAAGTGTTTAGTGCAGTATGCATACCTGGCACCCAAACATCATGACACCGCACCAACACCTGCCTCTACTGCCACCATGCCCACCAACACACTTAAAATCACCAAAGCAATGCAAAACCAAAAGACAGGAAACAAGCAAGCAGATCAACCAACCAGTGAGAAAAAAAGCAACGTAGTCCATGAAGAGTTTCTCTATCCCCTGAAAAGGGAGAAGAACCAGAGACTCCATGAAGTGCACAAACAGCTTTGCTATTACTAAGCTATTCAGTGTGAAAGAAATGCAACATGGTGCTGGACATCACTACAAAATCCTACAAAAGAGTGTATTGGTCCTGAGAAGATACATTATTTTAGCCAGGTTTTTTGAAGCAACCAGTTGTGATTTCCTCCAAAATTGTCAGGGGAAGCTGCAGAGATTCTTTTAATCCTACTCTAGCAGATTTAGAGCATTTTGCTGCAGCTCTTGTCCTTCTTTTAGTTCTCTTATGGTTACAGACTCATTTTGCAGGGTGATTTGCCTGATGCTTCTGGGTGCACATACAGTGTACAGCCGTTGGCAATCACTTATTGGTTTCTACCTGATACAAACTGGCAGTTTCCCCACGAGAAGGGCCATGCAGTTGCTGCAGGGAAAAAAGCAGTGGCACAAATTCATACCAATGTTTTTTGCCCTACCACATGTGGGGGCTAGTGTGGGGAAAAATGCTCTTGGTGGGGTAGTGGAGGCTGGGGCCAGCACCTGGGCTGACCCTAGCAGCCTTACCTCGAGTTCTGGGCGCCTCTCAGGGCTCCCGTGACAGCAATCTGGGCGTGCAGAGCCTAGCTGGCAGCTGGAGCGTGGCTCTGGCCGGCCAAGCTCTGCTTTTTTGCAGCACTCCACCCACTTCTTTTTGACATGGGTTTTTTTGACTGGGATCTTCCAGTGTCAAGAAAACTCTGCTGCACTACAAATTAGCAGCACAGTGAATACCTGCATGTACGATGCATGCAGTTTGCAGTGCCGCAAAGCGCACATACGCGCTCATCCGGATGCACACATCCTATCTTTCCTAAGGCATTTTTTATGCATTAAATTCCCTTAGAACAGGGA